TACAAACCGGGCACGTGGCGGATGGTCAGGCCTCTCCACACGAGTCACCGCACCGGCTTTCCGGTGCGACACCGGCAAAGCATTTCCCGGTGCCTCAGTTTACCCAACCGGATGGGGCAGGGGAGGCACCCGCCAGCACCCTGGAGGTGACAGCGGGGTGCGTGACGATGGTGCTAATGGGTGTGTCTCAAGCCGGCGGGGCTCTGGCGTGGCAACCCAGGGCGGACATCCCGCATTCCTGACCCCAGCATCACCCCAAAATTTGCCCCAGTGCTTCCTCCCCGCGTGGGGAGGAGATGCAGCCGAAGAACTCCCAAAAGCCTGAAAAAAGGGGGAACCTCACCCCACAATTGTGCGTGGGGGTGATTTCCTCCATTTAATGCCCCAACGTGCCCCTCCAGCCCCGAGTCTGGCTGGGGCAGGAGGTAACGCAGCCAAGGGGGGGGTGGATCCACACCCCAGGTGAGGATTTGGGAGGAATTTGGGGAGACAAAGGGGAACGGGGTTATATTTTAGCAGAGTAGCGGGAGAGGTTGGGGTAGACAGTCCCCCATTTTCCCAGCCCTTGATGCTCCCTGACCAGTTCCAGGCAATTAGGAGAACAGCAGGGGAATAGCAGGATTTTCTCTTAATTTCTTCAAATCCTTGTATTTCATCTGCGTAACACCATAGTTTTGCCACAGGGATAATGTCAGGGTAACGGGGACTACGATAACATCCTGTCCCTTTTGGGATGCCTCAAGACCACTCTTGCAGCACCCAGACCCCTGTGTGTGGGTGCAGTGGGTTTGGGGACCCTCTTGAGGTCTGAAAATGGAGGTGCATGGGTGGGGCAGCTGGCTTTGCCCACCACAGTGTGGGGACGTCACCCCCCCCACGCCATGGGTGCACCCCGTGGTTTGTGGGGTGTTTCCCTGGCCATGGTGGGGATGGGCAAAGTGGCAAAGGGGAGGGCAGGGGGGGTGTCAGAAGCCACGAGGAACAGGGGAGATATGGAGAATATGGGGGAAAACATTAGAAAAGGGGGAGCCATGGGGAACCAGAGGAGTTTTGGGGAGTGGGGGAGCTACAGGGACCCATCATAAGCTGTGGGGAGCTATAAGAAGTGGGGGGAGCTATGGGGGATGAGGGGAGCCAGGGGAAAATATGGGGACAAGGGGATCTGTGGGTCCAGGCAGCTGGGGAAGGGTGACACCCCAATCTCCATGCCAACTCCCAGCCCAGCACAGCCATGGGGTGAAGCAGCTCCTCATTAGGGCCACACAATTAGGACCCTCGTAGGAAAGGAAGATGGCTCACCCAAACTCAAGTCCTGCTGCTCCCCAGGGGGCTTCCTGCCAGCACCCACCCAAAAAGCCAGCAGGTAAAAGGCATCTCCCAGAAGAAGCCCCCAGGGTGGGCAGGTGCACCCACAATTTTTGGGGTTCAAGGAGGGCAGGGATCAGCCCTGACCAAGGCAGCCACTGCCTTCCTAGGCATAGGGTGCCCAGAAAATGCCCCAAAGGGGATGGGGCAAGATGAGATGCAGAAGAAACCCCAGAGCTGGGGCTGGGGAAACTGAGGCAGGGGCTCCTCCTCCTCCAAAAAAAAAAAAAAAAAAAAAAAAAAAAAAAAAAAAGAAAAAAGGAATGACATGTCCCTGGGCCTTCACCCACGTCCATGTGGCTGCGGCAGACCTGCGGTGAGGAGGTCCAGCTGTCTCTGTAAGTCTGAGCCCTCCCTAAAGCCCCTTCCCCAACATCCTCAAGGATGGAGATGATAGATCAGGGTCTCCCTCCTTGGCTGCTTCTCCCCCCTTCCACTGAGACCAGTCCCTTCTCAGCACCCAGCCTCACAGCCCTGAGCCACGGGAAGCCCTAACGCGCCTCTTCCAGGGTTTTGGCTGCATCCCAGCCTCCCCTGTACTCCAGCTCAGGTGATTTATCACCCCAGGGAAGCTATCAGCCCTCAACTAAATCTGCTTCAGGCAGCTGATTGCTGGGGCAGACGCTGGCGGGCACTGGGGTGCAAGGCTGGGGGCATCTCTGCGTGTACAGGGGCTGAGGCCATGCCAAAAAGCCCACATCAGGCAGAGGAGACAGCGAAACAAGCAGTGGGGAAACAGGAGACGGAGGCAGCCGGACACTGGTCCCACAAAGACAAGCATCCCAAGGGATACGGCAGCCATGTGCTAGGTCCAGAGCTCACCCTGCCCCAGGAAGAAGCACCGCACCAGCAGTAAGAAAAAAAAAAAGTGAAATGTTTATTCCCACCTGGCGTCACTCCCCTGCACCACTGGTGGCGGGTCACAGCTGGACAAGATGGTCATCCTCGTGAGGTGACCACATCTCCTCGTTCACCCTGCACGCCCGCGGCACATCCCGGCTCTAAACGGGGCTGTCAAAGCCCTCAGGACCAAGGGCCACAGCAGCAATTTGTGAAGGCAGGGGGCTTCAAGGCAGGCAGTCAGGGAGGAGGGGGTCCCAGCAGCTGCTGGGAGCTGTGTTTGGCACGGAACCTCCTCAGCATCCCCTCCCCAGGGCACGGAGCTGCCGCAGGAGCGACTGCAAAGTGGATCTTTGCCGGACTGATGCAATGCCCCATGTCGCCAGCCAGGCAGCAGTTCGCAGAGGCAGCAGACCCGTTCAGGAGGAATTCATGCTCTCCCACTGCCGGAAAATGCGGAACACCTTGCAGGACTTCACCGAGAGACTCTGCGAGAGAGGGGAGCAAAGCAACAACTGCAGTTTAAGGCACCACAACAGGACCTGCCACCGCCACCAACCTGCCTCCAAAGCACGCAAGGAGAAACAGCAGCAAAAAAAACCCATCTGAAATATCCTAATTGGATGTTCTTCTTTGTTAGCCCAATTTACCAAAACCGGAGAGGAGAACAGCAAGGTGACTGCAAGCAAGAAGCAGGATGGGACTCCAGTCATCCCTGCGCCAGCTGAGGCTCTTGCCTCCAACTTGTGTCTGGCCCCACAGGACCTGCGGGCGCTTTCCCAGCATGTGGCACAGCCGGAAGGGACCGAACTGTTGGGGACACAACTCGCACGAAGTCCCCAAGACAAATGCTGAAGCAGAACTGTTCCACGCTTAACCCCAAGCAAAGCAGGGGGGAGGCAGCAGGAGGAATCCAAGAGGATAATGGGGCCCAGGGAGGCAGCAGCAGGTACCGGCTGGTCCCCACCCCACCCTCAACTCCACTCCCCCAGCTTGGCAAACCCACCGGTCCAACAGCCTGGGGCTGGTGGCCGCAGGAGCCAGCGGTCAGGATGTCTGCAGAGAGGGCTGGGAGCTCTCTATCAGGACATGAAATGAAACCGGATCTTGGGCAGTGCTGAGGCGCTTGGGAAAAGCTGTTATTTATAGCAGCCCTTGAGCAGGTCTGCGCACAACACATCATTGTAGCGGATGAGACCCAGCCGAGAGGCTGTCAGCGCAGCCAGAGGGGAAGCTGAGACTCTGCAGACGGACGCTTGGTCCTTGTCACCCAGCTGGCTTTGCATTTAGCCCAAATGAAGCCCATCTACCCTAAACTCTGCCCAAAGGCTTTCAGCCCTGGGCAAGGCTGGAGCAAGCGGTGTTTGAGCATTTGGTTTCGGGGCTGGGGATCCCGCAGGCTCACCACAGGCTCCGTCTCAGGCATGCTGTCGCACTTTCTGGTGGCAAGGAGCGTGTTCAGTACCACTCGCCAACCCGGCTCTGCCTTCGCAGGCTCCTTCTCCGTCTGGGTTACAGTATCTTCTGGGGCTTCCCCTCCCTCCACTGCATTGACCCAGGGACACCAGTCGCGATGTTGTGAGCTGGGGTCAAAGAAGCTCCTCAAAGAAGTGTCCTGGGTGGGGGAGGAGATGACAGTGAAGGACGACAGCGACAGCATCGTTTAAAACAGATTCCAATGACACGATAAAACCCTCTCTGTGCCGAAACACCAGCCTTGAGCTGGCCCAGCACCCTGCCCAGATCCCTCTCCTCCCCACCCAGGCTTTCCCTGCACCCAGGTCACTCACCGAGCTGCTGGAAGAGCAGAGCCGTGCCCGCTTGGCTTTGCGGAGAGGACTGGATGGCACCTCCACGTTGTCCCCCTGCCCCATGCTGCGGGTGACGGGGCGGCTCCTCAAAGCGGGGCTGGCCACTTCCAACTCACCCCGGTCCATGGGGATGGGAGAGTCCCAGCCCCGCGAGCGAGAGATGGCCGGGGATGGGCTCTTCTCTTGCTGCCAGTGGGGAAAGAACAAGGAGTTAATAGAGCTCCTCTGCTCACCAGCGCATCCTCTGCCTGAAGTGGACAGGGGGACCCTGCCCAGCTCAAACAAGAGATCAAAACCTATCCAGCTATCCTGGCAGGGGTCGTGCCACCTTCCTTTCACACCAGGAGCATCTTAGATGTGTCTAATTGGACACGGGTGAAGGCAGCCTCTGATTCAGAGCACGTCAAGTTAGACAAGCCTTGGTATCCTGGCTGGAACAGCCCTTTTTTGCCCTCCTTCAGAAGGGCTGAGGGAGGGGAGGACAGAGAGCTGCAAAGGGCAGGGAGAAGGCAGCAGCAATCTAATTCTGTTGGATGTTGCCCATGGCTGAAGACACGGCACCAAGATGAGCCTCTTTCAAGGTAAAAGGCAGCAGACACCCAAACTACATCAGTCTCGACTCCTGTGTGCGCCTGTATCACCCAGACATCCCGAGCTCACGGGCCAGCTGAGCCGGGCCATACCTGCTCAGAGCCCGGAGGGAGCGTGTCTTGGCTCCGGGTAAGCATCCTACGTGGAGAAGTGGGAACGAGCGGGAAGCGCTCAGCAGGTGCCGGTGGTGTGCCGCTTGGGCCGCAGGAGTCCAGCTCCGGCCCTGCAGACTCCAGCTGGTGAAAGCCCCACAGTCCCACCTTCCTCATGCAGCGGGAGCAGGTGATCACTGAGAGGTGCATGGAGCCAGACGCAGTGCTGCGGGGACAGAGCCAAGTCACAAGAGAAGGTCAGGGATGAGCCTGGGCTCTTCCCCAAAATTGCAGCTTTCAGAACAGATGCAGGTATTTGGCAGAGCACAGAAACGGTCTCAGTCACAGGTACCAGAGCCAGCACATTTCAAGACATCAGTACCCCTCGGATGAGGCACAAATTTACTGTTTTTGTAGCCCCGTGTGCTAAGAAGTAAAACAAGTCTGTTAAAACCCATCTATAGGGTTGATTTGAACTAGCTCGGTTACATTTGGGCTTGCCATGAAGCAGGAGCACACTCATTTATGGCATATCAGCTGAGACTGTCCCCATCCTCAGCCCCTGAACTGCCCAGCCACAGCAGCAGCTCTGCTCTTCCTCACCGTAAGCCCTTTTCCAGCCTGCACCTGAAGAGTTGCTTCACCTTCAGCAAGCTGCCTCAGGCACAAACAGCGTGGCTGTTCTGCTCACAGCACAGGCTTTGGGAAGCTGTGAACCTTTGGGTCACGAACCTTCCCTCCCTTCCCGCAGGCCTGATGAGCAATGAAAGCATTACTGAGGACGATATTTCAGAGATTGACTTCAATATCTAAATCAGCAATGACTAGGGCAACCTATAGCTCAGTTGTTTCAAAGTCTTTGCCGTCTCAGGGAGACATCTATTTCAGATTAGGTAGCTTTGCACTGGGGTTTCTGGAAGTCTGTCATTTTTAACAGCTGGAGATAATAATAAAATAGTGAAATAGGGGATACTGGCCTCACAGGAGGCACATCTGCATTCCTCCAGCCTCTGACAGGTTCCACCAGCAACCATGAAGTGCAGCAGACACTTCAGCATCAGTCCTACACCGCTACCAACCTGCAAGTCCAGCCACACAGAGCCAGGATGCAGGCAGGAATGTGCACTTGCAGGATTTCCGTGGCAAACTTCATCGGTGGTTTCTCTCCCTCCGTTTTGTGCTCTAGTTCCTCCCCGATCAGCTGGAGGAGCAGACTGATCTTCTCCTCTGTCAGGGACTGTAGGGCAGAGAAAAGTGGCAGAGCAATCAAGAGACAGTCTGATAAAATACACTGCTTCCACTCAAAAACCACATCCTACATGGAGAAAAATCACTTTTTCTCTCCCTGAAAGGGCTGGGCGCATGAGCAAGCACCCTCAGCACTTCTACTCTGGTTAACAGGCAAAAGCCACACAGAGCAATGGCTTCCTCCTGCCTTGCGCCCGTCTGACTCTCCCTGTTGCGTGGACCTCAAGCACCATTTGCTCCCCCAAGCACGTGTGGGGACAGCGGAGCAGGTCACAGCTTTGCCACTCACGGCAACCATGAGCTCAAACAGCCCCAGTCTGTCCCTCTGATCCCAGGGAGGCAGCAGGGCCTGTGTTTGCCTGTGCTCAGGCAAACCGCGAGCGCTTCTGGGGCCATTGCTGAGACACAGAGAGAAAAGAGAGTCCCCGAAGGCTATCAGTAGAGCTCCAGACCTTGCTGCTAGTGGGACAGCTGGGGAGTTAGATGTGGAGATGAGATACATCCGTTGGCTTTATGCTGTCTCTTCTTGGGGGGGGCTCTTGCTGGGTTTCACAGCTCAGCCAGCCCATGGTGGCAAACACAAAACACCTCTGCGATTTCTGCTGAATGGATGAAGAGTTCCCTGGTTCCCACACAGCTTCTCGCTGCTGAGAGCCATCTGTTTCCCGGCAAGTGAGTGCCCAACAAGCCAGACTTGGCTGGAGCAGAGCAGGGCCTGGCCAAGGCTCTATCAGGAGGCAATCCCACACTTGCTTCCTGGCTGTGGCTATGCTCCAGCCTCTCCTGCCGCAGCTCCTGCTCTTCCCTCCTGAGCCTTCTCGCACAACTGCCTCGCACAAGAGGTCCCCCTCTACTGCACTCCCTGGGCTCCCACACCTTCATGGGCCTCTGCCCCACACCTCTGCTCCAGGGCAGCCTCTGGCTCCCCACATTCCTGATCCCACCTAGAGCAAGGACTGCCTCCAGTGGGATCCCAGCCGCTTGCTAGGGGAGTGATGTGAGGGCTGCCACATCTCACAGAGCACTTGGAAGTAACGAGCAGGAGTGGGAGCTGCCAGGGAGAGCTCCCAGAGGAGTCTGTGGGACCTCAAATCGCTTCTGCTGGGCACTAGAGAGCACCACGTGTGCCGGGAAAGGCGCAGAGTGGGAATCGGACACTACAGCCCATTTCCCACTGGAAACATCGTGGCGACGTGAGCTAGCTGTGCCTGTGCTCGTCAAGGGCTTGCATGGCAGACGAGTCTTTCCAAACTCCCTTTTACGTGCTTCCAGACACACCAGGTGAAACCACCACGTGGGCAACGCCCGAGAAAAAAGCCAAGGCGATGACAGACCACTCACACACGCAAGGTGAAGTCTCTGATTTGAGTCTCGCAACTGTTTCGGTCAGGGTTTGCACAGCGCAGGCATGCCTGGCATCATCACCGGGGACTTGAACTCCCCCGATCTCAGGGGCACCCGGGAACTCACCATGTTTTTCATGTCTTCTGGTCTGAGGGAGGGCAGCTGCAGCTCCAGCTGACAGAGGCTCTGAAAGCGGTCCAGGAAATCCTGGAGAAGGGCTCTGGGCTCATCCACCAGCAACATGGCAAAGCGATCTGGTGAAAGCAAACACAGGAGGCCTGAGCTGTGCCACCAGCCTTCCCATCCCCTCCTGATCTCCCAGGGCAAGAGAGAAAATGAGACCAGCCAAGTTCTCCCCATAATGGTCTCCTGGCTTTTAAAAGAAAAAGCTGAGCACAGTCTTTTTCCTTTGCAACCACCCTTCCTCATGCAGCAGAGCTTTGAGGATGAGGTCTATCACCCTTAGAACGCCCCATGCCATCCAGCCTCCCTTGTCCCCTCCCAATTACAATCCAAACAGCATTTTAACTGCCCTGGAGGCACGCAAAGGTTAAGAGAGGCTGGGACTCAAGGTCCAGGGCTCCAGCCATGGCTCAGTTGTTTATTTGCTGAGGCTGCTCACAGGCATTGCCCTGCCACTGTGTATTTCAATGTCCCCGTGGGGTAAAAAAAAAACCAAACCAAAAAAAGAGGACTACGATCTTGGACATGTGCACTAGCCAGGCTCTGAGACACCAACCTGGACAGGGGCTGTCCGGCCAGAAGCAGAACTTCTCGTGCGCGGTGCACAAGGCCTTCTTCAGCTCCACACAGCGCTCCTTATCTGCAAGGCAAAGCTCACTTCTACTCCCCTGCGGAGCCACCTCCTCAGGGAACGGTTTGGAAAACCAAACCAGGAGAGGAAGGCAGCAGGCTACGATGGCTTCTGTGCTCCTCCTGTTTGGCATGGCTGGGGTGACGGATGCCACCCGAGGCTGTAGGTTGCAGAGCCTGAAGCTCTCACCCCAGGCTCATCTCCCTCCCCACCAGTTCCTGCAGCAGGGAAGGCAGGCTGGCTCAAGGGGTTATCTCCATAACAGCAAGCATCACCAGAACAGTTCCACCTCCTCGCAGCCGAAATCCCCTCCCGTTGCCAGGCACAGCAACCACAGAGCAGGGGAGCCTGCCACGCTGCACGGCAGTGCAGTGAAAACACAGCTCAAACCAACCACGGGCACAGGGACCGCCTGCTCTTGCCAGTTTTACCTCCTGGGCTGCTGCCAGTCCCTGGCTAACTTGCCTGACCCCTCCACCCTGGCTGTAGGAGCCAAATAACAGCCATGTCTGGAAATCAAGCTTCCCCAAAAAAAGATTTGATACTTAATTTAACTTATTCATGCCTTTCAGAAAGAAGTAATTTATTTTTCAATTTATTTTTCAAGCCCTTCTTCCAACCTGTGATTATTTGGGATTTTCCTACACCAGTGTGATTACCAACAGAATAATTAGGCCAAGGTTTATTTAAAAAAGATAGTCTGAACAAACAGCAGATGTGAATATTCAGTGTGACCCAAAAGGAAATGCTCATGCAGCTGCTCCCTACTACACATGGCTCACGCTGCATTTGTCAGACATCAGGGCTGCACTCTCTCCTACAGGTAACAAGAGCAGGGGCTTGCAGTCAAGAAAAATTGGGAAGTGGAGATGGCACTTATTGGTGGTGGGGTAATAAATGTCTTTCTGCAGAAGACATATGCAGGTAAAGGAAACCAAAGGTGCTCTGTGGGCAGGGGAAAGAAACTGGTGCTGGGCCCAGGCAAGGAACTCAGTGAGGGCAACAGGAGGAGAAAGCTTTACTGCTGGTAGTTCAAGCAGTTTAAAGAGGGCAGCAGAGGAGTTAATTAAATTACATGATGTGACCACCTAAATGGACCGACTTTGTGACCAGCAGCCACCAACAACCCACGTTAGAAACATTTAGTGGAGGATCAGGGCGGCAGACTGAGCAGTTGAGAAACAAAATTTTAAAAAGGTTGTTAAGGTACTTGAATGCATCCCGAGGAGGGCAACAAAGCTGGTGACAGGGCTGGAAGGCATGTCCTGTGGCTCAAAGCTGCATCAGGGGAAGTTCAGACTTGGTATCATCAAATTGTTTAGGTCGGAAGACCTTTAAGATCATCCAGTCCAACCATTAGCCTAACACTACCAAGTCCACCACTAAACCAATTAAGGGGAGAGTGATAATTTCATCTTTCCTGGCTTGGTGGCTGGATTATTTTTTAATGAAAGTAAAAACTAGGAACCATTAAGGTTGGAAAGGACCTCTAAGATCACCAGTCCAACCATCAACCCAACACCACCATGCCTACTAAACCATGTCCCAAAGTGCCACGTCCACACATTTTTTGAACACCTCCAGGGATGGAGATTCCACCACCTCTCTGGGCAGCCTGTTCCATTTCTTTACCGAGAGGGTGATCACACACTGGAACAGACTTTCCTAGAGAGGTGGTCGATGCCCCATCCCTGTCACTGTTTAAGAGGCATTTGGACAATGCCCTTAACATGCTTTAACTTTTGGTCAGCCCCAAAGTGGTCAGGCAGTTGGACTAGATGATCATCATAGACCCCTTCCAACTGGAATTATCCTATTCTAACCCATCTCTGACAACAGAAGCAGGAAGTTTTACCACATCCTCACAAACTAAAGGAAATTTATTCAACTTGCACTTTATTTTCAGTGACATCAAACACCCAGTGCCACCCAGGACAAGACTAAGGGAGTCATTTACACGCACAGCGAGGCACAACCCCCCCCAAACCCTACGGCCCACCCCCCGTACCCGCCGGATGCCAGCATACGTACACTTGTTGAAGTCAAACGCGAGCTGCAGGCTCATGCAGAGGAAGGCCTGGCAGCTGGAGCACTTCAGCATGTCGCACTCCACATTGGTCCAGCCATACTTGGCACAAACCAGGGGAGACAGCTCGTGGGGTTTGCCTGCCCACTTCAGCGGGTGCTCATGTTAAGGATAAAACCCAATAAATTACAGGTTAAACAGTCGAAGCTTTGGCCAGGGTTTATTTGGCCAAAGATGACGAAAAGCCTCTGAGAAGATGAAGCCTGTGGGGAAGCCATGGGGAAGGTGACAGCAAAACAGGGTGGGGGATGGCTGGAAGCTCAGCATCAAAAAGGATATGGTGAATGTTTCTACTCTGCTGAAATAGGCTTCCTTGCTGGCAGACTCCAAGGAGAGAGCATCCATTTGCGAAGATCCATTAGCTGATTCCGACCAGTCGGACGTGTCCTTCCTAAAAGGAACAGCAAGTCAGCAAGCAAAGCACCTGCACTGTCCTGGAAAGATTTCATTAATAAAAAAATGTGCAGACCACTTTCTAATCTCTCATCCTTCAGCCTTACCCTTACACAAACCCTTTCTCCAGAGCTCCTAACCCTTGACTTTTAATTATTTTACTAATAAACCAATTAAAAGAAATATAACGCAACAAACAAAGGTGCGCATTAAACATTTCACAATGACCAACAGCAGCAGATGAGGATTTAATGTGACAAGTAGCAGACGGGAGCTCGTTTTCCGAGCCCGGCGAAACCAGATCGACGATCACAGCACGTCTCTGAAATCAGGGACACATCTGAGCTCCCAGCACCTGGAATGTCAGCTCCTGGCATCAGCATCTGCGCCCAGAGGCGAGTGCTGCCCTTCAGCCTCTCCAACACCCCTCCACAGGCCAAAATTCATGGATGTTTGGGCTAAAGGTGCGCTGTGCCTCCAAAGGCAACCACAGTTGTTTGACTTGAGCCGGACACCCCCAAAGCTCAGCCACCCAGTGCCCCCAGTGCCTCCCAGAGTCCGCAACGCCCACCAAGTAAGCCCTGTGACTCTGTGCCCCCGCCTCCGGGGTGTGACCCCATGCTTTTCGGGTCAGAGCCCTGCTGCGTGGCCAGTTCAGCTCGCTCAGGCTGTGGGGACGCCAGAACTCTCCAGGTCACTTACCTGCCCCTGCCCTCCCCGTGCCCCCCAGCAATGCCTCCCAGTGCACACCAATGCCTCCCACTGCCCACTAATGCCTCCCAATATCTGTTTCTGCTAGTGCCTCCCCGTGCCTTAGTCCCTCCAGTACTCCCAGTGCCCTTTAGTGCCACCAGCACCGCCTCCCAGTGCCCCCCCCTCCGCTTCCCACTCCCTCCCAGCGCCCTCCTTTCCCAGTACCCCTCCCTCATAATAACTCCCAATACCTCCCAGTGCTCTCCAGCACCCCCCAACGG